TCTTTTTTTATTAACATCCTCTGAACAATCAATACTGACTTAATGTTCCATAAAATTTTCCTAAATCTCCTGAGCTAAATGGGGGGATTTTTACGTTGCCTCTAATTGATGAGTTATTCGGTTAGATTGAGGAGGATATAAAAATAACCGCTGTGGCGCCTTTGTACAGGATCCCGGATATTTATCTCGAGGAATTTGCTCGGAGTGCTTGGTTAATGTCGAAAATGATATGCTGAAGACAGCAACTTAAGGGTGCCAATGCATTTCATAAAAGAAAAAATATGATGGAAGGTAATATTTCCAGGGAAAGGCAGGATATTTATTGAAATAAGACAGCACAAAGAGCCCTCTATCACCCAAATCAACCACTGCGGACCGTACGTGCTGGACAGAGGATAGTTGACATGCTTTAGTTCGTTGTCCCAGAGACGAGAAACCAAGCCTACAGCATGTTGATGTGTAGCCAAAAAAGAACGAAACAGCGGTCCATGGTTGGCTGCCTTTTGGCCGGAAGGAGAAGAAGTATCATGTTTAGAATTTTTAATGCCGTATAAGAAGCACTGAGTCACTGTTTTCTTCTACCCGTACAGTCTGACGTTTTCTATGTGGCACCAAAAGATTGTAGAGTAAATACATCACTTGGAGAGGCGCATGTTGTTGCTCTTAACATAATTAAAGGTTTTGACGAGTTGCATCATATAACTCCCATAAGCAAACCGTTTTATTCCAGAAAAGATTTGCAGATAGGAACGAGTGTTATTCATACTTGCGCAAGTCCAGAAAAATGTTATACTCACTAGTGGTACTTCCTGAACAGATTAAAATACTACCGCTTAATAGATGTTCATTACATAAGCAACAAGATGAAAGTATGTGACTTCGGTGATTTACGCATGCACTGATACATATAGTGGTTTTGTTTATATTATATGTACCACTGAGGGTGGATTTCATCAGGATTGTCAAATCAACCTATAGGGTAACAGTCCGTCAAATACAGCGAATGAGCTTCAAGTTCCAATCAACAAATTTTAGCAACCAATAGCTATGAAATGTTGAAAACAAAATACTGTCAAAATATGGGATGACAGCTTGTCATTGAAACATCACCAGCTTAGTAAGAAATTACATATAATACAGTCAAAATTATTTTAGGGAGAAGTACGTGGCGCGACATCAATGGACGTGTGACAGTAATGCATTGATTATTACGTTACAGTACGTTGGTATATTTTCTTTTTATAAACATTGATTAATGTTATTTTGCAGGTAATTTCGAGCGGGTATGGTATAGATGAAGAAAAGTTCAAAGACTACTGTGTAAATACTGCCCGTTTATTCGTTGCTTTATATACATGGTATTACATGCCAACATCTGTACATAAAGTGTTGATGCACGGAGCAGAAATTGTAAAATATGCCCTTTTACCGATTGGACAACTTTCTGAAGAGGCCCAAGAGTCACGCAATAAGGACATTAAGAAATACAGGTACAGATTAAATAATGCAAGAAAATGCTCTAGAGAATCGAATTTGAGAGATATCTTCAATAGGCTCTTAGTAACATCAGATGAATTTCTCTCAAGCATCAGGAAATTGCCCCAGAGACCGGCGAAATCTTTACATAAAGAAGCTCAACAATTGTTAAAACAACCTGAACCAGGATTTAGATACAAGTGGGTCAACATCGGAATCAGAATCGAATGATTCGAACATTGAAGATGACGTACAAGATTTTTGTTACTAATGGGTGATTTTTTTGCTATTATCTTTTTGGCAACACTGTTTTTGACAGATGACGCGTGAATCGTGTCTTGTGTCATTGTCAAACTTGTTCAGTTTGGTCTATAATTTAACCATGAATCGACTTACGAACGAACAACGCTTGCAAATTATTGAATTTTACTATCAAAATTCATGCTCGGGTAAGAGAGTGCATCGAGCACTGCTTCCAATTTATGGGCAATTTGGTCGGCCTACTGAGGGAGATATTCGGAAGCTTGTGACTAAATTTCGAACCCAGTTTACATTATTGGACATTAAACCACCAACACGCAGACGTAGAGTGAGGAGTGAAGAAAATATTGCGGCGGTATCCGCCAGTGTTAGTGATGACCGTGAAATGTCGATTCGCCGCCGTTCGCAGCAATTGAGCCTCTGTTACTCCACTACGTGGAAAATTTTGCGACAGGATTTGGGTGTAAAACCTTATAAGATACAGCTAGTGCAAGAATTGAAGCCACACGACCTCCCACAACGTTTCCAATTTGGTGAATGGGCGCTGGCAAAGTTGGAGGAAGATCCACACTTTTATTGAAAAATTGTGTTCAGCGACGAAGCTCATTTCTGGTTGAATGGGTACGTTAACAAGCAAAATTGCCGCATCTGGAGTGAAGACCAGCCAGAAGCATTGCAAGAGCTACCAATCCATCCCGAAAAAATCACTGTTTGGTGTGGATGATGGGCCGGTGGCATCATCGGGCCGTACTTCTTCAAAGACGACAATGGCCGGAACGTAACTGTGAATGGCGAGCGCTACCGTGCGATGATACCAAACTTTGTTTTGCCCAAAATGGAAGAGCTGGACTTGTCTGACATGTGGTTTCAACAAGCCGGTGCCACATGCCACACCGCACACGAAACAATGGCCCTATTAAGAGGCGAGTTCGGTGAACAGTTTATCTCACGTTTGGGGCCCGTCAATTGGCCGCCTAGATCGTGTGATTTAACGCCGTTGGACTATTTCTTGTGGGGCCATGTTAAGGCTAATGTCTACAGGGATAAACCAGCAACGATTGACGCACTGGAAGCCAAAATTGAAGCATTTATTCGTGAGATACCGGCCGAAATGTTGGAGATAGTGTGCCAAAATTGGACCTTGCGCATGGGCCATCTAAAGCGGAGGCGCGGTCAACATTTACATAAAGTAATCTTTAAACATTAAATTATATCGACCGTTCTATCGACTCAAATAAAGATTTAATCGCTTTTTCAAATTTTTTGTGTTTTTTTTTTTAAATCAAATCCTATACCTCTTAAAAAATCACCCGTTAGAAGTCAATAACAGATATTCATTTTGTTGCAAATTTTTTATAAAAGAAATTTTTGATAAATAAAAAACATTGCTCGAAAGATTTTTTACTCATTAAAACCTAAAATATTAAAAATATTAAAAAATTAAAATAAAATGCGGAATTCTCCATATATCGCGTCTGCTATTTTGAAAATTAACATTTTGATAACCAATTCGTAATCAGCGATTCCAAAAACCATAAACAAATACAATTTGGTATTTTTACTGGATTATCTGACTAATTGGTTAAATTATGTCCGGCATTTTGGGGCCGCCATTTTGAAAATCGTAATTCTGATAACATATTCATATTCAGCGATCCCAAAAACCCTCGAGAAGAGAATTTGAGATCATTTACGACACTTTCTGAATTTTGGCCGGCTTTTTGGGATTCTGCCCCACTGTGCGATAGACTTCTTACAATATTTAGGCTTTCCTTCGGTCAAGTATAAAAAATATCGCATCTCTATGTTGCCCACTTCTGTGGATGCACATTCAGCGGCTATTGAGCCTCCATCTCGCCGGCAGAACAGTCCGCCTTTTGTGAACGTATGCGCATAAAAAGCCGGCATACACTGAGCAAAAATACACAAAAGGTTTCCGAGTATCGCAAGCAAAATGGGTTTTTCGTTTCACTTTGTCTCGAATGACTCGATGTTTGTACACGGAAATGGTTAAGTACGTACGCGGGCACGCGACAGATGCTGCTGTGCAATTCTGCAGCAATCTGGATTAACCTAGATCGCTATGTAGTCATATAAGAGAGAATTGCGGTTTATGTCATGCACAACATTCATTGTGGAAGATGTCTCGCTTTTACGTTCCACGCTAATAGTCTAGCAAAGGTAGTCTCAAATTTGAGAGAACCAAATCTGTCGATCTAAAGCAGAGTTCCCCAAACTTTTTTGTGTCGTAGACCCCTTGCCATGTTTTTCCGTGTACTTACCTAATATTGATTTCCTGTAAATTTCTAACTGTAGTGAAGTTTAGTGTTAAAAACTTAAAGTAAAAACACATGTTAATTATTTATACATTTATTAATTGAATTTAAATTAAAACTACTCAAAATAAAATTTTGTATCTGTTATGTAAAATATACGTAACATTAAATAAACAGGTGTCTGACCAATAAGTGCCCGCATAAGAGGGATAAAATTAAAAAAAGTGAAAAATAATAAAAAAAAGTTTTTTACTTAAAATAGTACAATAAGCGAGTTCGTTTATTAATTATAACATAAACGTATGTTCTACAATAATTTCACTGTTAGTTTGATTAAATTCCGCTTCTTATACGTTTATGTTATCTAAAAATAGGCAACAAATTAACGAATTTTAGTGTGTACCTATCCTTGAATTTTCAGAATAATTTAAAAAAAAAATATTTTCTATAAAGGAGGGTTCTTTAAAAAAATCAATGCGGGCACTTATTCCCAATGCGAGCATTTATTGGTCAGACACCAATAAACATAAAATAAACTATAAATAAAATAACATAAGCAATAAGTCAATATTTTTAGTGAGAAGGATGAACCTGATGCTTTAATAATAAATTATCAACATTTGGCGTCAATTTTGCAAGGGTTAATCTTAAATCTCCTCGGCTAATGATGTCCAGTCTGTTTCTTTTTTTCGTTAGGAGATTGGTAACAGCGCTGAACCCCCTTTCCACTAGGTATGACGATGGAAAGGAAATTAAAAATTTCCTCGCTATATTCCATAATACGGAATAAGTAACGGGTATGTTGTTTTGCAGCCAGAATTGCTGATATCCGTTTTTAAACCGAACCTTAAGTTCTTCGTTTGTACTTAGTTCAGTCAGTTCCTCTTGTATTATGACATTCGTTTCTTCTATGTCACCATATGGATTAATTATCCACGGTGGTATTACCATAGTCAAAATATCCTCAAACCTAGATTTAAAATCTGATTAGAGGGCATTTAAATGTTGAACGTAAGTTGAATCGTCGTCTTCCTGGCAGCTTGTCTGTGACAAATTGAGGAACTGAGAAAATTCGCCCCGTCCAATATTTTGCTTCATTAGTTTAACTCTGGCAAGGCACGCTGATAAGATGGACTTTGTTTTAATCAAATTTAAACTGTCGCCTTGTAATTGCAAATTAACCATATGAAATTTTGTAAACAAATCTGTTAAATAGGCGATGTATGCTTTCCTCTTCATTAAATTTTCTTTTAAAATTTTATCTTTAGTATCCAGAAATTCTAAAATAGTCTCAAAAAGTGCAAAAAATCTTGTCAAACATGAGCCTTTCGACAGCCAGCGTACTTCAGTGTGAAGGAGTAATTGATGAAAGTGTTCGTCATTTTCTTCACACAACTGCGCAAATAACCGCGTATTCAACGCGTTGCTTCGGATTCGGTTTACTGCATCAATGACTAAATGAAGTGATTCATGCAATCTAACACTCAAATTTTTAGCAACTAAATGTTGTAGATAGATGACGCAATTATTGCTAACACCCCTGACACATTTTGTTTTAAATAGCTTATAAATCCACGATAACGTCCAACCATGGCAGGTGCTGCATCTGTAGCTACTGATATTATATTTGATAAAGGAATTGCTTTTTCAATGAAGTCTTAATCCTTCAAAACATGAAATATTGATTCACCTTTAGTGTCGGTTATCAAAGTTCTTGCGAAGAGCAGTTCTTCGTAGATTTCTTGATTCATAATAAAACGAATATATGCCAATAATAATGCTGCACTATCAGGTAAAGTTGACTCGTCCAGTTGTATAGAGAAATGGGTCGTTTGCAAATAATTACATAAGAAGCTTTCAATATCAGAACTCATTTCATCAATACGTCTTTCAACAGTATTGTTGCTTAAGGGAATTCTTTTAATGATATCAGATGCAGTTTTGTGTAAAACAGTTTTTAAAACCTCTTCAACGGCTGGCAAAATTCACTTCTCTCCGATAGTATGCGGTTTTCCGGATTTTGCTATAAGTAACGAGATATTGTAAGACGCCCGCAAACCATCATCATTTCTTTGTGACGTCGAAGCGAACATTCTGTCCAGTGTAGGTCTCTTCTCAAAATTTATCTTTGAGTGTTTGAAAGTATTTCAAATCTTTCTCTGTTTTATCAGGGTGGCATCTTTTCAGATGATCTTGCAGTTTAGATGGTTTCATAGCGTCATTGCCCAAAACTTTGTTGCATAAAAGGCACATAGGCGATTGTTTGTCCGGCAATGATGGAATGAAGCCAACTTTCAAATAATCACCACTGTACTGTCTACATTTCTTTTTAGATTCGGACATGGCATCAGTCATCTGCGGGCAAAATTAAATTATTTAAATAAGACAGAAAATCCAGCAGCTGTATATTAAAAATATTTTTTGATTTTTCCGAAAACATTCCATAATTCGAATATCTTCTTGCAACAATTAGCTCGAATTACGGAGATTGCACTGTAATTATATTACCGATTGCTAAAACTTTCAAAAAGAAACTATTGAGGAGTACTCGTGTAATTTTGCATGATTGAATATTTAACTACTAATAACTAAAGTCATGATTGGCATAATTTATCTATCTTTGCTAACTACGAGTACAAAACTAAAATTTAATAAAAAATAATGTTCTTACTTTTCTCCAGCACTTTAAAATATTTTCTTAGCACTTTCCTTTTCAAGATTCAGGAAACGAATAAACGTATTTGTCCCACATTCGTATTTATAGAGTGACGAATTGAACAAGTCAGTGCAAGGTAGCGAAGCTCTGAGACTGCGACTCTCAGGTTTTTACAAGTTCAAAATGTATTGCGACCACAAAGCGAATACCAACATCCTACAACTTTCACAATTTTATAAACATATAATAAATTTTTTACTTCATAGGTACTTTTATAAATAATGTATATGTTTTGATATTATAAGATAGTATGATGTAAGTAAATAGGTACTATCAGTGTATGTGTTGAGATCCACTATCGTGGACCCCCATATTCATTTCATGGACCCCCAATTTCTTTTCGCTGACGTAGACCCCTTGCAGGTTGTCATAGACCGCTAGGGGACGATATAGACCACTTTGGGAATCACTGATCTAAAGCAACAAGGTTCTCGAATTCGCTATAGGCGAAACTACATTTGAAAATTGTCCCAAAAGGTATCCAAATCTGGGTCAATCCAAAGGATCAAATTACGTTAGGCAAATTTTCAGATCGATAGGTCAGCGACCCGTAGGGTCGTCTAACCTCAAAAACGTGTTTTTGAAAAAACAGTTTTTGAAAAAATTAACGTTACTAAATATCCTGCATAACCGTGAATTTATATACCTATATTTGAAGATCGTCTGGGTTCTACGAAAGGTTTTTAGATTTTTTTTTCGATTTTTTGGTTAGGTAATGACATTTTCGCAAACTTGAAAATCTACTGTATATCAGTGCTCTTGTCCTTGCTTTTAGATCCACTAACAAAATCATAAATTTTTTCCGGAAAATCGCCAACAATTGGAGAACCCCAATTTCACTCTCCAAACGTATATTTTTGTATATTCTTTCTGGTCCCTCAGTCAACATTTTGATTTCTGTTCCAGAAAATTGCGTAGTTTTTGGTCGGAAAAGGAAAACTTAGATAACATAGTAACACATTATATAAAAATAACTTAATTTCAGAAATATTACCAAAATCGGAAAAACCGCATTTTCCACGATCTTCTTCCATTTTTGACATTTTTAACGGTGGATATCATGAGTTGGCTAACTTTAAACTCAAAGATGTATATGTGTTACTGTCCATTTTTTCAGGTTCCACAGTCAAAATTTTAATTTATTTCTCGGAAAAATGTGAAAGTGGGAGAACCGCATTTTCGCTGATTTTTTCAATTTTTGTCGTCTTTGGTCAGAAAAATAATATTTGGGTAACACAGTAACTCATTGTATATACTATATATGTACTATTTTGCAGTCTTTTCAGTTCTGTTCTCAAAATAATGTTTTCTTGTCGAGAAAATCGCTAAATATTGGAAAAAACTCACTGATTTTAACCTAAATTTATTTCATCGATTTTTCCAGTTTCATACATTTTAAGAGTAGGTTATCATAACTTCAGTAACTCAAAAACGGAATCCACGCATATGTGTATAGTAGATTTTTGTTAACCAAGCATTCCTTTACTGACCTAAAATGTCAAAAATTGAGAAGAAGAAAATCAGCGAAATTACGGTTTTTCCTTTTTCCGCAATTTTCCCAACCAGGAATCACAATTTTAACCTGAAAGGATGGACAGAAACACATATGCCCAGAATCGGTGGAAATGCGGCTTTTCCCCATTTTGTCAAATTTTCGGACAATAAATGATGATTCTGACAATGGAACTAAGAAAAACTTGAAAAAACGTCTTTATACAGTGGATTATTGTGTTATCCAAAAAAAGTAGACCATCAGCAAAACTGCATTTTTTGGAACTTTGGCAATTATCCTGGCAACAAATCACAATTTTAACAATGACACATGGAAGAATCTACGAAAATTAATACGCAGGTTTTGAGTTGACCAAGTATAATATCCTACTATCCTACTGTCTAAAACTGGAAAAATAGGTGAATATGAGGTTTTTTCGGACAGGAAATCATTATTTTAACAGCGGAACTGAAAAGTCCGTAAAAAAGTATAGGTATAGACTATTCCTTTCTTAACCAAACGCGTCAAAAATTGAAGAATTTCAGCGAAAATGCATTTTTGTCCTATTTTTGCAATTTTCCTGCAAACAAATCAAAATTTTGATTGTGGAACCTAAAATTGGAGAAAACCGTGAAAATCTCCGATTTTCGAGTTTCCGGACAAAAATTTATGATTTTGTTAGGGGATCAGAAAGAACGCAAGAAAGCCCTCATACGAGTATAAAGTGAATCTGTAAGTTTGCCAAATTTTCAATACCGAACCAGTAATTCGAGAGAGAAGGAAAAACCAAATCTATAAAAAATCACTGTTATGAAGAATATACAGGTATATATATATAGCAACGGCTATTTTTTCAAAAATATTCCAGCAAAATTGCCATGGTAAAAAATTATTTTCGAAAAACACGTTTTTCAGGTTACGGGCTCCTACGGGCGACCTATCGATGAAAACATTCCGTTTCCAGATTTGAATATCTTTGGTGTTTTGGCTCCGCCAGTTTCAATTTTCGTTTTAAGTAAGTAGGTCCCAAGTGCCTACGGATGGGCGATATCGCCCACTTTGAGAAAAACTATTCACCCGACAAGAACAGAAGCACTAGATCGTCTTTTTACTTGCGTGCACTACCTGGCTGGGCATTTATGGTCCGCTGGTCAATAGGAGCGCGGTAATTTAGACGTCGCGCGCTGGTATCTGCTTTTAGGAGATGTAAATAAAACTTGAACACGACAATATTTATAACTATGGTGAAAGTGCAGCGATCGGATAAATGAGTTCAAATAATGGTGAAGTAATACTTGAATCATACAAGTTACGGCATTGCAATGATGAAGCTATGTGACCAGTGCTCATTCGTCTTCTGTTCAATTAAGGTGCTTTTTTAAAAAGGCATGTAACGAATGTCAACTTTTTGGCATTCGCGAATGCGAATATTTACTGCCCATATTCGTGAATGCAAATACCCAGTTTTTCTTATCTACACACCACATAAAGCGTACCTGAAGAAACGAATACTTCGAAGCTTTTATTTTAGAAGTTTAGTATTCCTCTAGTTCAGGTTGATTATTAAATTGCTGCTTAAGAAAATTAAAAAAAAAATCAAGTCAGTATTTAGTTCGTGAAAAAACATTTCTTTACCACAAATAGTTTAAGAAAAGAATTGTTATTTCTAACTGCATTTCTTATTTGTAAAACATTTATAATCAAATACTGATAAAAGTAAAATAGAAAACGTTTCTGTTTCAGGTTCTTATTCCACCATTATGCATTCGGTAGTAGTGGGCTGCAAAAAAATGTTTAGGTTATGTTCTGGTCAAGCTTAACTCAGCAGTTCTTTTTGGAATAAGATGTGAGACATTCACCGATTTGACAGCCTTGGACTTTCTTACTTCACCAATAAAATGAACGAAACTTATGTTTTCTAATGAAAAATATCTGATTGTTTATAACACCAAGGAAAGAAATTATGTAAGAAATCAAAGTTCATCTATTACGACATGGTTTTCTAGCAAAAAAATGGCATCCAGTTTGCTGAATCTGCACTTAACATGCAACGCCATTATCAGTACATAAAGGATTATATTCAGCACAAAACTGACCCTCTGATAAAAAAGTCAAGCAGATCCATACAATTAGTCCATAGGCATTCTTTCCCTGCCATACTGGTAGTGCACCTGGAAACTTCGCCTTTCCCCGATACCTAATACGATCAGACGCGATCAGAGCACAGCAAACGCTATGCTGTGGTGCGTAGAATTACCCAGGCTGGGAGCGTGTCAATGTACTAACATCAAAAAATTGAGATAAACCCTCCCCACACCCGCACAATCCTCAGCACCAAGTTTAGTTACCTCTAAAATTTTCTCCAAAACTTATCAGTTCAAAAAATGAAGTTTGAGCGATTGATTCCTTTTCGTTTCTCACCTCTGGAGCGATTTTCGACAACTGCAAAGCTTTTGCGCCAGCGGCATAGTAGTAGGCTTGTGTGAAAATTTCATTTTAATCCGAGAGGCACTTCATAAGTAATAGACGGTTATAAGATTAGCGGACAGACCGACAGACCGATGGAAATGAGCGAGATAGTTTTTCGTAATGTACATATCATATAACATCCAAAAAACATAACGTCGCGTTTCCCCGATACCTAACACGCTCAGACGTGGCAGCGCGATCAGAGCACAGCAAACGCTATGCTGTGGTGCGTAGAATTACCCAGTTTGGGAGCGTGTCAATGTACTAACATCAAAAAATTGAGATAAACCCACCCCGCGCCCGCAAAATCCTCAGCACCAACTGTAGTTACCTCTAAAATTTTCTCCAAAACTTATCAGGTCAAAAAATGAAGTTTGAGCGATTCATTCCTTTTCGTTTTTGACCTCTGGACCGAT